ATATCTAATATTTATAACATATTATATATAGTACATATTATAAATATATTGACAAAATAAATATAAATACAATCAAAAAATCAACTTGTCCTGAAATTTCCACCAGTTATATTCTGGTGAATATTCACAAGTCAGAAAAAAGCAGGGCAAAATACAGAACATACGGAGCAATACGGCGAAGAGGGGATTGACACGCGCGCTGCCGCACGAGATTCAGCGAATACGAAGGAGCGAGATGCATCGCTATATATGTATGTATGTCATCGAGGTAGTATGCTCGTAGCTCCTCGTCGCTCTAATACCTGTACGTGAGCTGACCGTTAAATATTGATAGAAAGCCGCCGATGTTTCGCGCCGGGATGACACACGAGTGACCGGGACCAGGGTTCCCTCATCGGTGATCGGCGTTGTGTCACGGACGCTCGAACGGCAGCTAGAATGCGCGGCCGTCCTTGCCGCGATCCATTGCCGTACGTGTCGCAAGTGAGTCGAACTCGCGATGGACGCGGCCATATTTCCTGCTAGCAGAAATCTTGTCCGTCAGTGATTCGCGCTGATCGTGTGCCACCGAAAGAGCGGAGCGTGCAGAATGCCGAAATGCGATGTGAAGACGAGGCCTCTGCCAGCTACGTTCGCGTGGATTGTCCTACTCATCTCCACGGCACTCTTCTTCATCTTCCCGTAAGTTGTCCCTCTCTCTTTCTCCTCCTTCGTACCGCCGCGACTCGTGCACGATCCACGTTCGTCGAGACGGAACTCTTTCTTGGAGGATATCGCTGAATCTCACATGTTCCATGTTCACAGGTGCTGGAACTACTATGTCTCTCGGTGGGGCTTATGGGTACCGATTCTGCAAGGAGTTATTACCTTCTTCGTGGTGATAAATTTCTCGCTGGCGACGTTTATGGATCCTGGTGTTATACCAAAAGGTAAACATGAAACTAGTGAACTCTGTATACATACATACAAACATACTGCAAAGCTTATACTGTAAATACAGGCAAGTCAGCCTAGGGATGTACTCTTTGTTTTTCTAATGTATTACATTTTCTAATGCTTCAATGTTTCATAGCTCAAATAATACATGCAAGACTGAGAAAATAATCTCCATGTGCAAGTATTTCTCTCTGTTCACTCTTATCGAATAGAATTTCATCTCATTAGCTTTCCAATATGTTGTAGAGTTCACTATATGAAATATGTTTATGGTACTTATGGCAAGACACAGGCTACATTTCATTGCATTATCATTTTATCCTTGTTTAATACTCTGTGAACAACAAGAATAAAATGATATCTCATGCATTATGCCTGCAATGGAATGCAGCCATGAATCTGGAGCAATATAGTTTTTCATTAAAGCACCTCCTGACGAAGATCGGGAAGATGATTTTCGAGCTCCATTATACAAAAGCGTGGAAATCAATGGCATTACTGTACGCATGAAGTGGTGCGTCACTTGTAAATTTTATCGACCTCCACGTTGCTCACACTGCAGTGTCTGCAATCATTGTATCGAGGTATGTTTTTTTTTGTTAATATTTGTTAGAATTATAAGAGGAAAGTTTAACGAGATTAATTTAATATTTTTAGACATTTGATCATCACTGCCCATGGGTAAACAACTGCATTGGTAGGAGGAATTATAGATACTTCTTCTTTTTTCTTCTGTCGCTCAGTTTTCACATGCTCAGTATATTTGGGCTCTGTCTATATTACTTACTGGAGCATAAAGAGCAGCTGAGTGAAGTTAATACCATTGTTGCGTATCCTTTACATAGAAAATAATTTCTAAAGTAAAACGCTGCATGTAACGCTGCATGTAAGAATTTATTCTTTTCAGCTGAACTTCTTGCATGGTTCTCTTCGTGTTGAAGAAAAAAAAAGAGAAAAACTGATGCAAAGTTCAGCCAAAAGAAACAGATGTATACATTCAATTTTATGAGATCCTTAATCTTCGTATAGACTCATACTCATGGGAGTGGTAATGCTCTTATTCATTCCAATCTTTGGACTGACCGGCTTTCACGTAGTCCTAGTTTCCAGAGGACGTACTACGAACGAACAGGTGAGGAGCAGATTTTCAAAATTTTATTTTTTTAGTTAGAGATGGCATAATGTTCAGTGTTGAAAGACTCAAATTTTAAGCTACTCTACGATGTTCTAAAAGCATTTTTTTCACCATCAATTTATATGCTGAAAAAAGTTTAGACATTGGAAATGTATTATGTCCTTTACTAGAGACAAATAAAATGCATTTGTTTAACATTATTAGAAATAGTTTAGCAATTGTGTTAAACATTTTACAGTGTGTGTGAAGCTGGCGTATCATTTCGTGGAAACTAATTATTGAGCGTTCTGGCTTTATTTTCAATATAGTTCTATAGTTTTAGATCGATTAAACTAAGAGTTCTGCCCTTAAAAGCGAAAAAACAAACTGAGACGCCAGATTCACGCAGCGTCTCACTTTGTCCTGCGCAAGCTTTGACAGATTGTTGTAGGATTTTAAAAGATAATAGTTCTAGATGAGTTCTAGAAAGAGTTCTAGAGAGAGTTCTGGCGATAAATAACGTTAGTTTCAATTTTTATTGATTCCCCTCCCCCCTTCCCCAAAAATCACTTTTATAGGAACAAAGATGAGACGCTGGCTAATTTTCGACAGTTCTGTGAGTTCTATGATAATTAGGGTGTGTAGTTCTAAACATATATTAACGCTTTCCGAAGAGTTCTGATAATATAAATTATTTGTTAATTTTTTAAACAATTTTTATCACCCTAGAAAGGCGACTTTTGGGGATTAATATGTGGGGGACACTGGCGGTATCCCGGATACGTGAGTTCTATAGCAATTTTCGTGTAGTTCTGAATGTATCCTAATGCTTTCCGAAGAATTCTGATGATATAAATTATTTGTTAATTTATTAAACAATTTTTATCACCCTAGAAAGGCGTCTTTCAGGGAATATGTATGAGATGCTGGCCGTTTTCCAAAAGTTTTGCGGATTCTATCGCAATTCTCATGTAATTCTAAATGTATCCTAACGCTTTCCGAAAAGATCTGATGATATAAATCATTTATTAATTTTTTAAACAATTTTTGTCACCCTAGAAAGGCACCTTTCAGGGAATATGTGTGAGACGCTGGCCAATTTCCGACAGTTTTGTGAATTCTCATGTAGTTCTGAATGTATCCTAACACTTTCCAAAGAATTCTGATAATATAAATCATTTGTTAATTTTTTAAATATTTTTTATCATCTTAAAAAGGCGCCTTTCAGGGAATATGTGTGAGACGCTGGCCGTTTTTCTGTGAGATTTATAGTACTTATAGTGTAATTCTGAATATATCCTAATGCTTTCCAAAGAGTTTTGATGATATAAATTATTTGTTAATTTTTTGAACCTCTAGAAAGGCACCTTTTAGGGAATATGTGTGAGACGCTGGCCGTTTTCCGACAGTTCTGCGGGTTCTATGGCAATTCTCGTTTAGTTCTGAATGTGTCCTAACGTTTTCCGAAGAGTTCTGATGATATAAATTATTCGTTAATTTTTGAAACAATTTTTATTATCCTAGAAAGGCACCTTTCAAGGAATATGTATGAGATACTGGCCGATTTCCGACAGTGAAAAGAATAGAAATTCACAGAATTGTCGAAAATTAGCCAATGTGTCATCTTTGTTCCTCTAAAAGTTTTTTTTGGGGAGAAAAAGTCACTAAAAATTGAAAATAACATTGTTTATCGCCAGAACTCTTTCTAGAACTCATTTAAAATTATGTATTTTTTTAAATCTTAGAAGAATCTGTCAAAACTTATGTAGGACAAAATGAGACGCTGCATGATCCTGACGTCTCTTTTTTTTCACTTTTTTTTATTTTTAAGGGCAGAGCTATTAGTTTAATCGATGTAGAACTATAGAACTATTGAAAATAAAGCCAGAACTCTCGATAATTAGTGAGTTTCTGACAAAATGATACGCCAGCTTCACACACACCTTTTATATCTTACTAATTGGCAAACTGTTATTTTCTATAAGGCGCGTGGTTTCCTTGTGGCTTTCTTTCTCGTTTTCTGAAAATTAAATATTTCGGATGAAACGCATTTTGAAAGTTTAATCCTCAGGTAACAGGCAAATTTAACGGAGGCTACAATCCTTTTTCACGAGGTTGTCTGCGCAATTGCTGTCACACACAGTTTGGACCACAATACCCAAGGTATTGCAAGGAGCCAAGGTATTGTAAAATTAATTCTGTATGCATAAATTATTTTGTTATAATGAATTTTCTGTATGATTTGCAGCTTACTTAAACCTGATAAGTATTCAGGGAAGCGACGTGGAGCGTGTGCGTCAGAGATATCTACTATAGGCAGTGAGAACCAGGTAAAGACCTACATGGATAGCAGCAATGGTGTTAGAAATGCCAGTTCAAATGCTTACAATAAGGTAAGAGCTAGCGCAGTCTCGCTTATCTTCTTACTTTATGAACACCATTCGGATTCTGATGCTTGAACCATTATTATGATTTGTATTCTTCTTATTATTAACATAGTTAAACAAATGGAAATTTGGACGAAGCTTACATCTTAAGCACTCTTTTGCTTCTATGCAGTTTTCAAGCATGTATAGCATGACTAGCAACATTGTTGTACTAAATGTAAACAGTTATGCAATCCTAGTACTAGCTTCGTAGTACATTTTAGTGTTTTACTATAAAAATTAACATATATATTTACGTCTTTTTCTCACATCTGTAGAATATGAGTTGCAGCGATGATACCTCATCTATCAGTATTGATCAATCCAGAGTCCTAAGATGCCTTTACTGATTATCTCCTATGGTTTATATATATCCCATTCATCCAAACTGATCCTAATATTCATAGGAAATGTAGTAATGTATATTGCAAAGAGAAATTTTTTTTTGTTTGATATATCTTTCTTTGATCCATGACACTGTTGATTCTTCTTTATAGTTATCACCCGGACGAGATGGATCGGACACAGACATGGAACCGACAGCGTCTCAATCTGCAGACTGCGAACCTACGCCGCCGTTGCAAAGACATGGTTCTAAAAGCAATTTCTTCCTGCCACCTGTGGAGAACAACGAATCTCCCAGGCATCCTCCGCCGTCGCAGCTTCGCCATCCAATACATTATCCTAGAGGCAGTCCACATCCAAGGCCAAGGTATTTACAATAGATAATGACAGGATTTTCAACATGCAAAATGCTCTAGCATAGTACTTATGTTCATCATGTTCTTAGAGGGATGAATGGATCTCGAAGTCACACACCCGATCCGTTATCACCGGAGACGACTGGTTCGCCAGCCACGGTCCCTCAACGTCAGGGTGGTGCCAGCCCAACGATGCAACAACGTATCAAAGCTATTGGAGTACCTACTCCGCTTGCCATATCCAGTCCCATACGAAGGTACATTATACTTGTGCATTACTGAAAGAAAAATCAAAGTATATATTAATCCGATATATATTTGAAGAAATATCAACACATTTACACGTGATACAAAAAAAATGAAGGATTGATTAACTGAGTACTTACATTTGATCGATTCTTATATATGAAATATTT